ATCCAGTGGTTGGTCTGGCTCTATGGGTTGGTTTCGTTGTGTCGGTTGATTTTATGTTTGGTTGGTGGTCGGTGGATTTCGCGTTTTTCATTGGTGTCGTGAAGTTGTCGTTTGGTTGGTCAGTGCCGTTTTGTTGATTCGTGCCGTTTTGTTGGTTGGTGTAGTTTCGTTGGTTGGTGTCGTTTTGTTGCTTGGTGTCGTTTTGTTGCTTGGTGTCCTTTTGTTGGTCGGTGTCGATTTGTTGGTTTGTTGGTTGGTGTCGTTTCGTTGGTTGGTGTCGTTTTGTTGCTTGGCGTCGTCCTGGCGGCGTGGCCGATAATCGTCGGCCTGCAATGGCGCCAGGATTTGTTTCGGGCCAGCCTTGATCGCCCTCATCATTCTCATATTCGTCAGCGTCAGCACTCGTCGCCCCCATCCGCGCACACATGCGGCCCTGGTACGGCTCTCACGCGGCCCTGCGAAGGCCTTCACTGTGCTCCCCAAGCTTTCTGAGGGGCCCCCCAGAGGCCCCAAGAGGGCACTGCAAATTGTCGCTTCCAACTCCGCCAGGCGGAGGTCAACAAGGGTCTCACTGGTGCACTTCCAGGAATCGTTGTTCGATCCTCTTGCCCTCCTGGGGCCTTCTGGAGCCGTCTTGGAAGCTCCGAGCGGCTCCATGAAGGCGCCGTTCGATATCGCTTCCAATTCCGCCAGGTGGAGTTAGACCAGGGGCTCACTGAGGCCCCTTTTTGCGCCCTCCTCTGCTTTTGAAAAAGCCCCGATGGGGTTCTTCAGTGCCGTCTTAGGGCCCCTAAGAGGCCTCCAGTAGGGTATTGAAGTTATCGCTTCCAACTCCGCCACGCGGAGTTGAACCCAGGGCGGCTCTCTGTGGCCCTTTCGGGGCCTTCTCTGAGCTTTTCTGAGGCCCTAAGTGGGCCCTGGGAGGTGTCATTTTCACGGGAGTTGAAAGTGACACCGCGGAGGGCCCTCTTGGGCCCTTCTTGGGGCCTCTCTTGGGTCCCTCTGGGGGCCCTCTTGGTGCCGCCCTGGGGCCTTCTCGGGGCCTTCTTGGAGCCTTTCTGGTGCTCTTTAAGTGGGCCCTGGGAGGTGTCACTTTCAGGGGCACTGAAAGTGACACCTCGAAGGGCCCGCTTTCCCTCGTAGCGCTGCCCGTGGCCGGGGCATTGTGCAGCGCATCCCTCGTCGAACGCATTTTGTCGGACGCGTGGTCGAATTCCGCCAGTTCGGTCGAGATGGTGGTCAAGCGGTTCGGTTGCAATGTAGCCATGCGGATCTGAGCTTACCATTTCTTGCCATTTTGGCGGGGGCTCGCAGGAGCGTTTGTGTTGTGATCAATTGTGCTCGATATATCCAGCGGCAGGGTTTCATCCCAATATATTATTTTGTAAAAGTCAGCAGGGGCCAAATTGGTGATGTGAAGCAACATAGGTCTCGTAAAGTGGACCTCGCCGTCCGTGGGGGGCTGCGATCTGCGAAACCGTCACCACTTTTTTGAGGACTGCTGGGGGGTCAGCGGAGTGACGCCTTACCCAGGCTCACATTGGACCTCGCCATCCCTGGGGGGCTGCGATGTGCGAAACCGTCGCCCTTTTCGAAGGCTGCTGGGTGGTCTAGCGCAGTGACGTTTTACCCAGGCTCAACTTAGGCCGCGCCATGCCTGGGTGGGCTGCGATCTGCGATGCTGTCGCGACTTTCGAGGGCTGCGGGGGGGTCCTGCGGAGTGGCGTCTTACCCAGAGTAAGATTTGATCTTCCATCCTTGGGGGGTTGCGATCTGCGATGCTGTCGCCACTTCCGAGGGCTGCTGGGGGGTCCAGCGGAGCGACGGTCTGCCCATATTCAAATTCGACCTCGCCATCCATGGGGGGGCTACGATCACCGAAATAGTCGCAATTTGCGAGGGTTGCTAGGGGTCCAGCGGAGTGACGTCTCACCCAGGCTCAGATTAGATTTCGCCACCCTTGGGGGGCTGCGATCTGTAAAACCAGCAGAGTGACGTTTGCCCATTTTCAAGTGAGACCTCTCCGTCCTTGGGGGGAGGGCTGTGATCTGCGAGACTGTCGCCACCTTAGAGTTGCTGGGGGGTCAAGCGGAGCGACGTTTCACGCGGACTCACATTGGACTTCGCCGTCCCTGAGGGACTGCGATCTGCTAAACTGTCGCCATGTTCGATGATTGCTGGGGGGTCCAGCGGAGTGGCGCCTTATCCATATTCAGACTGGACATCGCCATCACTTGGCGGCTGCGACCTGCGAAACTGTCGCCATTTTCGACGGCTGCTCGCCGGGGGGGGGTGCGTCGGGGTCCAGCGGGGCGACGCCTTACGCGGACACAAATGAGACCGCGCCACTCCTGGGGGGCTGCGATTTGCGAAATTGTCGTTACTTTCGAAGGCTGCTGGGGGAGCCCAGCAAGGTGACGTCGTACCCACACTCAAGTTAGACCTCGCCATCCCCCGGGGGCTGCGATCTGCGAAACCGTTGCCTCTTTCGAGGACTGCTGGGAGGTCCAGCGGAATGAGTTTTTACCCAGACTCAAAGTGGACCTCGCCGTCCGTGGGGGGCTGCGATCTGCGAAACCGTCACCACTTTTTTGAGGACTGCTGGGGGGTCAGCGGAGTGACGCCTTACCCAGGCTCACATTGGACCTCGCCATCCCTGGGGGGCTGCGATGTGCGAAACCGTCGCCCTTTTCGAAGGCTGCTGGGTGGTCTAGCGCAGTGACGTTTTACCCAGGCTCAACTTAGGCCGCGCCATGCCTGGGTGGGCTGCGATCTGCGATGCTGTCGCGACTTTCGAGGGCTGCGGGGGGGTCCAGCGGAGTGGCGTCTTACCCGGATTCAGATTTGATCTTCCCTCCTTAGGGGGTTGCGATCTGCGATGCTGTCGCCACTTCCGAGGGCTGCTGGGGGGTCCAGCGGAGTGACGTCTTACCCTGATCCAGATGAGGCCTCGCCATCCCTGGGGGGCTGCGATCTGCGAGACTGTCGTCACTTTCGAGGGCTGCTGGGGGGTTCAGCGGGTCGCTGTCGCGGGCCGCTCACAGACCTGGCGGCGCGCGTTGGAGCGTTTACCTCCCGCACTGAGAAGTGCAGGAAGGAAGCACGGAAGCTGGCGGGCGAGTGAGGCCTCGCTCGCTTCTTGCACTGAATATCCGCAGGTTGATCATTTTGTCGAACGCCGCGGTGGCATGGCGCAGGCAATGCTGCATCTTTAGCGCACTACCGACAAAACCAACACTCTTCGGCGTCCTCCCGTAACTTTCGTCGTCGTCTTTTGTCACGTGCCACCTTCCTGCTGTTGCTGCCGTGCTGACGATTCGCCCCCCCCGCGCGTCTTTCTTCTGCCCTTCGTGTCCACCCTCATGTCCTCCTCAGGCTTGACCCTCGTTCCTCGTCCTTCTGTTGTTGTCCTGACGGCGCCTGCACCGTCAGTGTTCGGGCAAATGTGGGTAAATGTTTCTTGGTTGTTGATGCAAATGTGTTGGGTACGTCGCAGGGTAATGTGTTATTGGTTTGGTTTGTTATTATGTACCTTGACTACCTCCACGTGTCCGTCGACATAGGGAATGAGCATGTAATCCGCCACGCAAGGAATCCTTGTTGTAATCCGCCACAGAAGAATCCTTTAAACAAACCGCCACAACGGTAATTCATTGTGTATTCTGCCACAAAAGGAATCAAATTGTAATACGCCGCAAGGGGAATCCTTCGGTAATCCGCCACAAAGGGAATACATTTGTCAGCGGACGGGAGAGAGAGAGAGAGGGAGAGACGGCAAGAGAGAGAGAGAGAAAGAGATATAAAAAATAAACAGGAGAGAGAGAGAGAGAGGAAAAAAAAGAAAAGAGAAAACGAAGCAGAAAAAAGACGTGGTACACACACTCACTCACGGTTTGGTTAACCTTACCCCCCCTCCCCTTTCGCCGCACCCCCGTGTGCGCGCTCCGCCAAAGCGGGGAGGAGGACAGAAGGAGGGGGAAATGTCGACGTTTACTTTTTCGGAAGCAGGAACCCAGACGTCCGACGTCACGACGTTAGCTGACGTGCCCCGAGCTTCACGACACAATCTCCCGCGGACCGGCGTCTCGGCCCATATCGCCTCCAGAATGTCTTTTGGGCCCGAACGGTCCTTTATAGACGCCGAGGTCGAGGAGAAACAATGGTCCTCGCGGTTTGTTCGTGACGCCAGTGGCCTTGTGGAGGAGAGGGATGAGGATGAGGAGGAGAAGGAGGAGGAGAAGGAGGAGTATGAAGATGAGGAGGAGGAAGAGGAGGAGAGAGAAGTTGAAGAGGAGGGAGAGGAGGAGGAGGAGGAGGAATAGAAGGGAGAGGAGGAGGGAGGAGGACGAGGAGGAGGAGGAGGAGGAGGAGGAGGAGGAGGGAGGAGGAGGAGGAGGAGGAGGGGAGGAGGAGGAGGAGGAGGAGGAGGAGGAGGGAGGGGGAGGGGGAGGAGGAGGTGGTGGAGGAGGAGGAGGAGGAGGAGGACGAGGAAGAGGAGGAGGAGGAGGAGGAGGAGGAGGAGGAGGAGGAGGAGGAGGAGGGGGTGGAGGAGGGGGAGGGGGAGGGGGAGGAGGAGGGGGAAGGAGGAGGAGGAGGGGGAGGGGGGAGGGGGAGGAGGGGAGGAGGAAGAGGAGGGGAGGACGAGGTGGAGGAGAGGAGGAGGAGGAGGAGGAGGAGGAGGAGGAGGAGGACGAGGAAGAGGAAGAGGAGGAGGAGGAGGAGGAGGAGGAGGAGGAGGAGGAGGAGGAGGAGGAGGAGGGGGTGGAGGAGGGAGAGGGTGAGGGGGGAGGAAGAGGAGGTCAGGAGGTGAGGAGGAGGACAAGGACGAGGAGGAGGAGGAGGAGAAGGAGGAGGAAGAGGAGGAGGAGGAGGAGGGGGGGAGGAGAAGGACGAGGAGGAGGTGGAGGATGAGGAGGAAGAGGAGCAGGAGGAGGAGGAGGAGGAGGAGGAGGAGGAGGAGTGGAGGTGGATGAATGCTCGGCCAGAATGGTGCGGTGGAGGTGAGCGATCCACACGCGTGGTCAGGCGCCTCTCGCATGGAGACGTTCTCTTTTGATCATGTTCTATCAGCATGTCAGCTCCTTTCTTGATATCATGCTGAGCACTTCAATCTCGAGGGTATATCCAGCACTTCGTGTTGCGTTGAGCACGAGGTCCAGTGAGCCATGCAAGCATTTCCGAGGCATGCTTACTCATTGAGATGTGTCTTGCCGAAGTTTTGAAGTGTTCCGTCGTAGCATGGGGGTGGCGTTGGAGAAGGGACGGGGAAACTACTTGAACGAGTTGGCTAAGCATCAGAGGCGTGCTGGGAAAAGGAGTAGGGCTACCAAAGACCTCGGCGTACCAATACAGCTTGCAATTGCGCTAGCACGCCCTCCCGCCTCGGAAATAACCTCTTATCTTTGCGTGCGATATTCTCTCTGCCCTTACGTGTGATGGTTTACACGCAGACTCGAAGTGCTTGCCATCAAGTGTTCTCCACAGACAGTTCAGAAGGTGAGACAGTACTTGTCCCAGACTTGAGGCTTGTGAGAAGCATGCGCTGATCTGCCAGCAGCAACCCAACCCGTACCCCCAGCAGTGATCTCACGATCCGCGCGGTGGCTTTGGCAAGGCCGCTTGGCGGCCTCTAGAATCCGAGACTCAGGGACTACAGTTGATCAAATCTCACACTTGAACTTGCAGCTGGATGACAGCACGACAGAGCGAGAGGAGGAGGAAGAGGCAAGCGCGCGCGAGGGCGTCGGGTGGTGGCCGCCTGTCAGTGGGCGGCCTCTCGGTGCTCCGCGGGTCGGCTCTCACCGCGAGCTCCAAGGCCCGCCGAGCTCTCGCTCGGACGAGGGAGCTCACCGCGTTTCACCGATCTGTGCTCACCGACCCCAGGCGAGGTCGCGCGTAAGAGGAGTCCTCTCCACGAGGCGTGGCGCGTTGGCGGCCTGCGTCACCCACCGCGCACGGTCACCACATCCTCTCGCGTACGATCCTCTTCGTTTCGTGGCTCGGGTGTGACAGGCGTGTTGTCTCTTTTAGCGCCTTGTGATCGGAGATTCGAAACGAGCGAGAGCTTCGAGGTGCTGCAGCGGTTCTCTCCAACACCCAGGTGTTGGACATCAACGAGGGCATTCCCAGCAGAGACCCGGTCAGCCTCGCTTGAGCTCGTGACCGCCTCGCGGCACTAGTGAAAAGACTTAGCATGAAGAGATGTGTGTCCACGACGATCCGTGCATGGAGGCTTGTCGAACGATGGGGCCGCACGCAGCGAGAATGTAGTCGAGGAGAGTCTCGGGCGAGCCAGCCAGCAGTGGCGGCACAAGAGCCCTGCGGGCCAGACATGCGGCGCAGCCTCGCCTGGACACCCGCTGCAGCAGAGCCAGGGGCTGACGTCTGCGACCGGTGGCACGACGAGCTGCCTCCTCTCGGGAGTTGGGAGGGGAGAGGGATGCGGGCGGGCCAGGGCCACTTGCAGTCCGATGCGGCTCGATTCGATGCGTCGGCTGGGGCTGCGATTCCGACTGGCTTCGGTTCGGTTAGGTTCGCAGGCATCGGCCCGGGCCAGCCGGAGCCGGGCGCGACGGTCCAGCTTCAATTCGGTTCGGGACCATCAGTTGGCGATCCGATCCGTCTCCAGTCCGATTCGATTTCGCGGTTCGATCCAGCTCAGGTTTCGAAGGCGGAAAGGCGAATCTGTCGATTCGGGGAAGGTGGCCTTCTTGCCCTCACCAGGAAAACAGCAGCAGGAGGGACGGAGAGGCGGAGGAGGAGGAGAAGCGATGGAGGTCGTCGATTCAAGTGATCCCGCGAGGAGGGTCAGGAACCTAGCTGCCCCCAGATGTGGCTGGTCGGAGTAGGAGGGAGAATATGATCTTGGAGAAGGAGAAGGATGAGGAATGAAGAGCCTTACCCCCCCACAACCTCGATCTTCTTCAAGGGGCGCCAACTATTCACCAGCACCGATCCTGGCCAGGCCGATCGTGGGACCATGGACTGGTGAAGCGCCTTCTGGGCCAAGCCACGAGAGCGTACACACCGATGGTGAGCCTGGAGCCGGCGCAGGCCAATGTCTGGGTTTGGGGTTTATAGTCAACCCTCTTAGTAAGGGTGGGCAATTATCCTAAGGGTACTTTTGCATCCTTGCCTCCTCGGTCCATCCTTGGCCACTTTCGCTGGCCGCGCCCCGCTCGAAACGATCCGAAATGGCCTTCCAAGGCCCTTGCATCCTTATCGTGCATCCTTACGGTACCGCTCTTGCGCGTAGCCGTAGCTGATCTGGGTGGCGTCCTCCCATGCTGGTGCTGCTGGCCGCCCTTGTGCCCGCGCCGAGAGGAGTCGTGCGGACCATCGCGCTGGGGGCGCTGTGTGCCGCAGCGGCTCTCATGGAGGGTGGGAGCGCGCGGGCCGGGCGCAGTCGGGGAGCGGCAGAGGATCGATCGGGGAGGCGGAGGATGCAAGAGGATCGGCTTCTGGGCGCTTCTGGCCGTGGTGGGCCCCCTGGTGCGTTCTCGTCGCTGCGGCTGGATCCGACCCGAAGCTCCTCGGTCGGAGCGCGCCCTCAGGGCGGGGTCCGGGGGCCGATGTCTGGGGAGGGAGGCCCAGTCTTCTGGAGGCTCTGCACATTCGAGCCCGAGGTTTTTCGCCAGCTTCGGCTGCAAGGGACCCTCCTTCTCCTCCTCCTCTTTTTCCTTCCCCTATGTCGGCATCGGAACCGTCCGGGAACGATCTTGGACGAAACACGTGCTCGGGCCGGGAGTCGAGAGGGCGGTTTACGATAAACAAATTTGGGACGTCCGAGGACGCTCTCTCCGCCAGCGCCAGAGCCACACCCATCGGGTGGTGCGGGAGGGGGGTCAGGCGCCAGCGAACCACAGTCCGCAGACGTCCGACAGTTTGCGCGCCTAACCACTGTATCCAGCGCCGCCTGAAAATGATGACGATGAGCGCCTGTGAGCGTTTGTGCTGGGCATGCGTCGTGTGCGCAGTGTGCCTTGGGCGACCTACTCTTGCGGCTCGGTGGACCCTTCGGAAGCTCCTCTGGTCACGTCCAGCACCCATCAACGAGGGGAAAACACCCCTTCCAGGGTGGACAACTGGTCCCCCGGAAAGAAGGCGAACGCTCTGGAGCTTCCGTGCTGAACAAGTGAGGAAGTCGTCAGAGGTTCGGATGTTGGCTTGGCCAGAATCGGTGTAAGGGCACAGGTGGCGTCGTCCTCAGGGGATCCTCGAAACCACCTGCTGCCCGATCTCTCCCGGAGCGCCCTGCGGCAAGCGTTCCGGGGCAGGTCCAGCCGCGGCGACGTCGGCACCCCGCCGCCACGTCCTTGCGGGCCCCAAGAATATACACCACCACCACGTCGATTCCTCCTCCCTCCTCTACCCTCCTCTTCCTCTCGTCTCTCCTGGGAGAGGGACGGGGTGAGGGAGGTGGTGGTGTATATTTTGGGGCCCATCCTTCCAGCGACGACGCTCACGCCGACGACGCCGACGGCGGCAACGACGACTCGGCCGCCGGCGGTGGCGCCGCCGCCGCCGCTGGCCTCGGTGGCGGCGCCGCCCCGGCGGGGCCGCGGTGAGGCAGCCGGGCGGCGCCCGGGCGGGCTGGGCGCCGCCGCGCCCGCGCTGGCGGCCGCTGGCTCCGAGCCCGCGCGGCTGTTCGCTGAGGAGCGGCCGTGCCAGGGCTCATTTCAAACCCTCCGATTCGATTTCGATGGTTTCCGATTCCGATTCGAGTCGACTTCGGATTCCGATTTGGGCTTCGATTTCTCGGCGGAGCCCTACCAGCCTGCCGATGTCCGCCGATTCGACTTCTCCAGACTCGGCTGCCGATTTCCGCCGATCCGGTCCACGTCGATCGCCGATCCGACTCGTCGATTCGATGCTGGGCTCCCGCCGTGCCGCCGCCTTGGGGCTGGGGCGGCCGGCCAGCCGTCAGTGCGGGCACGGCGGGGGTGGGGGGGTGGGGAGCGCTCTTCCTCCCCCTTCCCTGCGCCCTCGGCCTCGTCCCATCTCGTTCCTCCCTCCTCCTTTCGCCTCTGTCCTTCTCCTTCCTCCTCTCCTGTCCCCTCCTCCTCGAAGCTCGCAGCTGCGGACTTTTCTCCTGCTGGCCTCCTCCTCCTCCTCCTCCTCCTCCTCCTCATCATCATCATCATCATCATTAGCATTATCATCGTCATCATCGTCACCCCTCCTCTCTATGCCAGAGGAGACAAGAGTTACTGGTCCACAGGCGTGTCTTATCTCCTCTCCTCCTCTGTTGCTGGAAAGGGTTGTCAATTCGTGAGGGGTGGCTGAGTCGTGTAGGATGAATCTAGGCCTCCCAGGTGGGGTCCGAGAAGATGGGGTCGGAGGATCGCGCCGCATCGCCGATACTTCTGCGATGCATCGCCAATGCGGCTCGATGAGGAGCCCGACTTGCTCCACGCCGACGGCGCCGATGCATCGCCGACGTCGCCGATGCATCGTCGGTGCATCAGCGATGTACAACCGATGTATCGCCGATGCGGCGCGATCCTCCGACCACATCTACTCCGACCCCATCTGGGAGGCCTGTAATGAAGGGAGGGGGGAGGTTGTTCAGAAGGTTTGCGGTGAGGGGGGGACGCTTCTGAGAGGTGCGCCCAGGCTGCGGCAATTGCCAGCGCCGTGGCGCTCTTGGCGCGCGAGGTCTCTCGCCGCCATCCTCCTGGCAGGGTTTTGCGAGGACGGAAGAGTTGACAGCTAAACGTCGAACAGGAAACAATTGCATACACGCTGGTCGTTGAAAGTAGGTGTTTTTGGATTCCCAGATCCCAATATACTTAAAGCGCCTTCGTACTTCAATCATCGACTTGCTTCTGCTATACTTGGCTCTTCTCTGGGAGGGCCTGAACCCAATCTACCTTATCCGCCTTCCTACTTCATGTTTTACGTACCTACTTTTCCCGATCGGAGTTTAAACGTACAATTTCGACGGTCCGCGCGGATTTCCTGGATCTGCGCTGCCCCCCCCCCCCCCCTGGCGGCGCCCCCAGCGCTGCCCCTTGCGCGATCCGCGCGCCGGGGAGGGGTGTTCAGCGCAGATCCAGATTCCGAGCGGACCGTCGAAAGTTATGTTTACACAGTCGTTTCTTCTAAGCTTGGGGGGCTTCAGTTCTCCACCTTCTGGAAGGTCTGCTGCTGTCGCTTGAGCCCCATCCTCTTTCCTTCCTCCTGCCCCCCCCCACCAGTCCTTTATACTTTCTTCGGAGGCCCTTCCTCTTGAGGGTGTTTCTGGAGATACGCGTAGGTTTGCTGCTCAGCAGCCTAGGGCCCCTAAGAGGCGTGCGAAGTCAGGGCCTGCGCCTCAGAGGTTCTCTGAGGCTGCTGGCGAGGTCTTGGAAGCTGCATTGAATGACCATCGGAGCCTTTTTTGTTGAGTTTGTCCGCGAGGTCGCGTCCTCAGGGCGCTAGAGCTAGAACGATTGCGAATCAGACATGCGACAAAACGGACCGCGTAACGGGCGGCGCGCCCGTGTCGCCCGTTACGGCGTGTTGTCAGCTGCATCGCGAGGCTGCGTTGCAGTTTGAGTCGTGTTGCCGTTCCCCCAAAGCGCGTACGCCCACGCCAGGGGCGGACTGGGGCCCGTGCACTCACTTCGAGTGCCAGCAGAGGCGGGACAGCTGGGCGAAGTTGCCTCTCTGAGGTCACTCAGGCGCCAACGTGTTTCCTGGTGGTGCTGCGAGACATCGACAGTCGGCGCTCTAGAGTCGTTCCATGTCTTGTGTGTCGCTCCCCCTCTCTCCTCGTTCCTCCTCCCTTTTCATCTCCTCATATCGTCCTTCTCCCTCCTCCTCCCCTTGGGGTCAGGCGGCTGTCTGACTGCGTTGGAGCGGCACCTAGCAAGCCGACCGAACTTGACGGTGCACCCAATATGTCTGAAATAAGTTGCCCAGACAACGGGCCAGCGTTTGGCAGAAGATGGCGCGACGCGTCGCACGACTCACAGTGCAAGAGGGATGGCATGAAGAGGGTAGGACTGACAGACAATGATGGCCGCGAGCGGGAATGAGAGGGTAGGTGACAGTGAACGTGTTGACGACGATAGAGGAAGCTTTGAGAGCAGGAGTCGAGGAAAGAGCGGCGGGCGCCTGAAGGAGGGCGGAGGGAAGAGATATTACGGACACTGGAGGTAGTTGCGCAATTCGCAGTCCACAGGGACGGCGCATTTCGAATTCTGGCTCGCGTCAGTTCACCACTCCGCTAGGTCCCCCATGGACCCACGAGATGGCTGGCAGTTTCGCAGTTCGCAGCCCCCAAGCACAGCGAGGTATCAGTCACGTCCGGGGATGACGTCACTCCGCTGGACCTCCGTGGAGCTAACAAAAAGGGAGTAACAATTGCGCATGTGCCAGGGGTGGCGAGATCCACTGAGGTTGCACTAAGCACCACTCGCTGGACCCCCAGGAGCTCCCGAAGACGGCGCATGTTACGCAGTTGGCAGCTTCCCTGGGCGGCGAAGTCCAACTTGGGTCTGTGTGGGGCGCCACTCTTCGGGACTTCCAAGGAGCTCACGAAAGCGGCAACAAATGCGCACGGATGCGAGGTCTAATATTGGTCTGCGTGGGGCATTATTGCGCAAGACCTCCCAGGAGCCTGCGAAATTTGGGACAGTGGGGCAGTTGGAAGTGCGAGGTCTCATTTGGGATTGCGTGGAGTGCCACTCCGATTTTCCTTCCAGGAGAGCATGACAATGGCGACGGATGGGTACTGGGCAGCCCCCCAGCCAGGGTGGCGAGGTCCAATTTAGGTTTGCGCTGGGCACCACTCTTCTGGACCTCACCTCTCGAACATGGCGACTGCCAGACGCAGTTGGCAACCCTGTTGGGCGAAGTCTGGGGCCTCTGTCTGGCCCCAGGACGGTCGCACAACTCGGGGTGAAGAGTTGGTCTCCGGGGTTGGGGCCGTCGTTGTCGTTCGCTGCCGCTTCGCATCAGGGAAAGAGGTTGTGAAGGAGAACGGTCCTGAGGTTTTTGGTCGTGTTCGGTTTCTGGGGTCGCTCCCCGGCCCCAGGACCGTCAACGACAATTCGGGGTGAACAGGTGGTTTCAGGGGGCGGCCGCCAGGTCCAGGACCAGTTCCTGCCAGAATTCACATGCCGAGTCGTCGCCGTCGTTGCCGTCGGCATCGGCGCTGGCGTCGCTGGCGTCGGCGTCGTCGCCGTTGCGCCGACGCCGCCGCCGTCGAAGCCACCGTCGTCGGTGTCGACGGCTGCTGCGTGAACGGCGTCGCTGGCGTCTGCGTCGTCGTCGGCGGCTTCGTTGTCGCCAATGAATCGCCACCGCTGCCGCCGTCGCTGTCGAGGACGCTCAAGGGTCGACCTAGACACCCTCCGCGTTGTGTGAAACAATGTTGATCATATCCGGGCCTATGCTCGCCGATGGTTTATCGTATGTGGCAATCCGTGCCATCGCGCACAAAGGTCTCCTGAGGCGTGGGGGGCGCCCTTCCGCCCCTGTCCATACACCTGACGGAAGTTGTTTGAGACTTGGGTTCGGGGCCTCTCGACCGTTTCATCGGGGCGGGGTTTCGCTCCCTCTGGCCCAAGATCCAAAAACAAGCAATGTGACAACAACGACGCCATGCGACGTACCCGACCCATCTGCGCCAAGTGGCCAGAATCACGTTGCCAAATCCTGCTGTGAACTGACACGACAATGAAAACGATGTGCTGCGAAGGCTAATCGGAAGGCTCGCGCGTCGCACGACCCACGGAGGAGACCTGGGCGGCGGGAAGACAGGGATGGGGTGGGAGGATTAACCGGAGGACACGAAAGTGTCCCACAGGGATGGGGTGGGAGCTTGGTCTCCGATCTTGCAGGGCAGAGATAAGCCACACTTTGTATCCGCAGTTTTGCGCGTTACAATCATGCTTTAGCATTGCTTGCAACAAAAACGAAACGCGAGGGCGTGCGGCCAGCACCCGATCGGCAACATTTTGTCTTACTCGCCTCCCTTTTCCTCGTCGCCCGCGTTCCCTCCTCGCCCTCCTCCTCGAACGCTCGCCCGGGCAATAATTGTCACGGGTGGCTCCTTTTATTGGCCGCTGTTTGTCTAAGGGGGCAGGATTTGTCCGCCTCAGCCGCTTGGTGTACAGTTTCGGTGTCCGCTCCCATCTTCTCCCTCCAAGAAAAAAGTGTCCCACAGGGACGGCGAGGACTCGATCAAATCTGGTGGGAAAACGGGGGAACAGGGGGAGGAGGTGGGGAGGGAGGCGGGGGGAAGCATCTGCAATTCATGTCATCACCTCTGCCGAGCATGCTAAAGATGTGGCTGCACGGGTTAGGACGAAGAATGTCAAGAAAACGGCCAACGGCAACGATCAACCGTTCATAAAGAGCGTCGGTCAATTGGGAATTCCATCCGTGAATTGATTGCACAATGCATCTCGGAGGGCCGTTCGGCGGTGTTCCACGAAAGAAATGTTGAGGGGAAGGTTCCGTTCGGTGCCGAGCATTGCCCTAAACAAAGGAGGATCGACGCTTGGGCACTTGACCAGGATGTCAGAGCGGCAGTGCAAAGCTCTGACTTGGCCGAATCGTGCATTAACAATTTGGGCCGTGGACTCAGGTCCGAGGTGCGATCTCTCGCTCCCACTGTACATGCGCGCATGATAAACTCGGACCACAGATTCACTGGGCCGGGG